ACCCACTTTGATGCATTTTTCAAATTTCGCCTTGGGGCGGAGTTATCTTTTCACAGAGGGGGTAAGATACACTTTAACATGGTTGAGACACTGGCCTTGAAAATTTGTATCAAAATTATAAAAAAAAAAATTGGGAGTTGATTTTCCACAATTTCAGAACTATAATAGGCAGATTTCACTTCATCTCATGGTTTAAAGCACAGTTTTTAGTTATGAGAGTTAAACGTGAGATTTCTCATTATTTGTGTGATGTTACGCCTCAAAAACTATTATCTATATATTTTTTATTATCAGATTACAGGAAACCTGTTGAGGAGCAAATTGAGGGTGTCAGAGCAGTATGTCCATATCCTTCCCATGAACACTGAGGTCACTGTGGAAGGAGTCAGAGTCATCCTGCTGGAAGCCAACCAGTGAGTCATCTGTGACACCAGCAGGGATGGGCTTCACACTGTCTGCCTTTTATGTAAAAAAGAGCTTGTTTTATGTTATGAAGAGACAAAGTAGTAGTTGTTTTAGTCGAACCTTGTATGCGTGAGCTCTGACAAAATCTAACGAGCCAGAGATGTAAAGTCTGTGATTGTTTTATGAGAGTTTCATTAAGATTTATCTGGTGGTTCATCACATATATTGTTAACAGACAGGGTTGACTCAACTATTTTATGGCAAAGTTATAAAAACAGATCAGTTGGTATTTGGAAAATCTGGTAGAATGACTCAGCTGCTACTACATCAAATATGGCTGAGTTCTAGTTATTTTTGAGTTTGTTAAACACTATTGTCCTTTCACTTATGGCAGAGGGCAGTTAAAAAGAACTGAGACACAAGCTTTTACTCCAGGGCTATTCAACTAAACTGCTCCAGGAGCCCCAGCTATTGCAGGTCAACAGCCCAGGGGCCAGACATCCAGCAATTAAAGTTAATATGTAAATAAACCAAGTATTACAAAAATTTGTTACCTTTGAAATTGTTTATTTTGCTGCATTTAATCATGAATACAACAAACAGAACCCTATAAAGTAGTGATAAAAAAGAACACACACTTTGCCTCCTATTTAACACAAATAATATTTTGACATCTCTGACTTGCCAACTTTTTWAACCAATTTTATTTTCAGTTTCATAGTTTTATCATCAACTGCCTGTCATTTTAACTGTCTTGAGTGTGCATAGAAACAGTTTTTACCTGTTCTAGCCATGATTCGGATGTTTCTGTAGATACCACACATGTCTATGTTTAACTAAAAGAACTTAGAGTAATTAAAGTAGAAAACAGGGTTTTGGCTTAAGAGATGAATGAACAAATTGGCGGGCCGAACTTTGGTCACTCGTGGGCTGKATGTGGCCCGCGGGCCACCAGTTGAATAGCCCTGCTTTACTCACTTTGGATAATAAATAATAGATATGGTTTTTAAAAGAAATTACCATTCCTCTGATCTTGTACATCTTTGCTTTTAGTCATATCTAATAAAATGCACTCAGATAAATGCCTGCAATATATTTTTTTCTCGACAGAGACRACAGTTTAGTGTTTTTAATCCCAGACCTCTTTTGTCTCCAGTTATTACTCATCACCTTTTCTTCCTGCTCGATCTCCAGCCTCACATCCTTCCTGTTTCTGCTCTCTCAGTTGTCCAGGAGCAGCCATGCTGCTGTTCTTCCTGCCCGATGGCCAAACAGTCCTGCACACGGGCGACTTCAGAGCCGACCCGTCCATGGAGGCCTACCCTGAGCTGCTCAGCTGCAGGGTGCAGACGCTCTACTTGGACACCACGTGAGCGCTTTCTCTTTGTTGCTACAGTGGATCTGCGTAAATTGCGTTGAACTCAAGCTCGTTCTCCTKGGCAATCTGTGTTTGTGTGTGTAGCTACTGCAGCCCCGAGTACACCTTTCCCACGCAGCAAAAGGTCATCAATTTTGCCACCAGTACCGCTTTTGAGCTAGTGACCTTGAACCCCCGTACGCTGGTGGTGTGTGGATCTTACTCAGTGGGGAAAGAAAAGGTCTTTCTGGGTATGTGACAACCTAGATTTGAAATGTCAAGCAGTACGAAAATATGTGTATTTTTTAAACATCTTAATATTTACTCCTGCTAAAGTTCCTCTGGGATTTCGGTTTTATTAAAAAGGGAGCGGCTTGAAGTTTTGATGAAATTGTTTTTGAAACCCTGGTATGTGTTGTCCTTATGTGGAGGCAGCGATGTCCTCTGGTGACATGCGTGAATAATGCTTTGTTGCACTTCTGCATGGAGAAGCATGTAAAAAATGTTGTTTTGACTGAACAGGAGAAGCGTTACTTTTTCTAATCACTGCTGTCTCAACAAGCAAACGGATAGTTTGTTTTTCTTAACGATACCTTTTAGTTCATCTGTTTTACCATCTTTAGCTTTGTACACTTAAAGGGGCAGTATTATGTGTTTCTCAGGCATATATTTAAATACTATACCATAATAAAGTATCTATGTCACCTTTAGCTGTTATTAAAATGCTGTTTTTATGTTTAAATAGAAAATAAACTTATCTTCTCATCACTTCCTCTTCTAAATGCCTTGAAATTGGCCTCTGTCTCTTTAAGAACCACCTTCCGGGGTGCGCTGCCATGATGCAGTTTACTTGGCATCTGAAAATACATTTCCTCAAAGGTATTTTTAGTCTGAAAAGAGCTTCACTGAGTGAGAAGTAGTGTTAGGAGCTCGGCAGACAGTTTCACTTTCAGTTTCACTTTCACCCGAGAGTCTGCAGGAGTCATGGGCGGGGTGTGTGGGGAGGAGGGGAGGGGGCGCTCTGCCATGAGGAAGCTCGGCTTAAAGACACATCCCAGGGGCGTTTCTGGTCCCCACCTGTCGTTTTGCTCCTCAGCATGGCTGCTGAAAAACGCTGCAGGATTTCTCAAACATGCATGAATGAGTCAGAGCAAGACTTTCGGCATGTTTTTATATGAGAGTATAACATTTAAACATGACATAAAACTCAAAAAAGTTGATTTTACATGATATTGCCCCTTTAAGACTCAATAAGCATGATTAAAATAAAACTAGATAAATTGGTAATGCTGAGAGCAGAAATGGCCTCAGTTAAATTTACTGTAGATGCTGAAACTGAGCTGATGAAGCTTCAAAATAAAAACACAAGCAAAAAGCAAAATGAAGCAAAGCAAGCTAATATAAACACTAGCTTAAAAACAAAAAAATAGCTAAAGAAGCATCGGTAGTTAAAAGAATTGCTAGCTAAAATCAACGTAACACTAGCCTAATGCTAAAAGGAGCACAAAAAGAGTTGGTTGAAGCATATTTTGAAAAGAACTGTTTTGGATTTTAAAAGATCTCATATCTATTTATTTAAATGACTAAATCAAATTAGCACAAAGTGTGCAAAAGGWGTTGGATTGCGAAAACCATTTAGGCCAAACAGGAAAAGCTAAAGCGTGAATGCTGACTCAGCAGTAACTTTTTAGGCAGGCTTTGGTGAGATGCCTGTTACGTAAAAATCCAGTTTCTCTGTGCGACTCTGCTGCTCGCTCGACCAATGTTCTGCTGTATTTTTAGCTCTGGCGGAGGTCTTGGGGTCTAAGGTTTGCCTCTCCAAAGACAAATACAGCACCATGTGCTGCCTGGAGTCGGAGCAAATCAGGAAACAGATAACCACTGACTGGAAGGCAGCCCGGGTCCATGTGCTGCCCATGATGCAACTCTCCTTCAAGGTGTGAGCAGCAGCTTTTGCTTTTTCATGAAACAAATGTCCGTGTAAGATTTCCTTTATTTTATTCCTACTGTTTATTTTTATTTTTGCATATTCAACAAACAATACTCTAAAAGGCTTAGAATAGTGTATAGATATTTATAAATGTGAAATATTTCACTAGAAGTTCCAAACTAATTCATTTTGCCATCTGTTTAACCCCAGATAAGCGCCGAAGCTGCTATAATTCACACATCACTAGRCACAGAAAAGCCAACTTATGGGAAATAAATGCTGCAGTTTAGCTTTTTAATTTGTGATCTTATTAAAGTCCCCGAGCYTTGTCATCAAAAAGAGCTGCTGTAATGCAAAAAATATGTTTGCAGGAATGCTGATGGAAAAGTGAGGGAGGGGGAAGAGAATTGCCAGTTTTTAGGGCGTTCATATTCAGAGTAAAACATCAAATCTGTTTTTTTTATGTTTCCTCTTGTTTCTCCGTCTGTTCCGCAGAAGCTGCAGGATCATCTGGCACGCTTTTCATCACAATATGACCAACTGGTAGCCTTCAAACCCACAGGCTGGACCTTCAGCGAGCAGGCGGCGTCGGTGGGAGACATCCAACCAGAGATCAGCGGCAACATCTCTGTTTATGGTGAGAGGGACTGGTTACCAGACAGATTTTAGTAAAAAAATGCTGGGATCTGTTAACATTGGCTCATTCTGTCGGGGCTTTATTCCAAAAATGTTGTTTGTTGTGTCAAAAATGTTGCTTTAGTCTTCGATTAATCCTACAGCTCCTCCTGTAGGGACAGAAAAGCTAAAATTAACAAATCTTTTAGTTTCTGCTTGCTGAGGTAGACGTACTTTAATGGATCCATCATCCAGCTGGTCTGTAGCCTATAGCCATTTTTGTGACAGACAATAACACAAATTCTGCCTCTTCAACAGCTTGTTACTGAAGTAMAAGTTGATTAACTGTATTTTTATGTATTTATTTTCTTCTATGTGCTGCTAATATTGAACTTTTCCTGTGGGAGGAGCAGGCTGAAGACTTGATTTGGTTCCATTCGATCTAATTCTGTTAACCAACTTGAAATGAGTCAAATGAGGACAAACACGAGGCGGACGCTTTATGGCTGCGTTTCTAAACAAAATAATGTTCTGATGGTGTGAATCTGACACCCACCTTTAGCATGCAGCTCCTCTTGCTGCTTGTCTGATACAGTACGTCTTTCACCTCAAACCAAATTGCCCATTTGTGAGCTGAGATGCTTTTTAATTGAGAAATTAAGACCGGAAACAAGCCGATGAATTGCAAGCGTGTGAAAACGCCTCTCAGGTCCGAGCCGAGCCATCTGGTCAGCTCCCCACAGCACTCGTCTCGTTRATAAATGAAAGATTTCAGTAATTAGAGCTTACATTAATCTTTAGGCTCTGAAATCAAACAAAGGTTACCCTGAGCTGTATGAAATGGTGCAGCATGAAGGAGTTGACTCCAGTAGTTGTCCAGATATGTCTGCAATTCTGAAATGTGGGAAAGCACTCGATATAAACAAAGCACGTTAAAAAAAAACCTTTTGCTAGACACCTGAGCTATCTGATCTGCAGACTCTGATTATTAAGATGTGAATTTCCAGTGAAGGAATTCTTCTTTTCCTTTACAGGAATCCCGTACAGTGAGCACAGCAGCTTCCTGGAACTGAAGCGATTCGTTCAGTGGCTCCGGCCCCTCAAGATCATTCCCACGGTCAACGTCGGCTGCTGGTCGAGCAGAAAGGCCATGGAGAAATGTTTCGGCGAGTGGCTAACGGAAACCAAACTGTAAAGACGTGCTGCTGAGCACACGAGTTCATCTCCAGATTTCCAGAGTTCATAACTTGCTCTTAAACCAGTTTATGTTTTTTTAATTAAAATTTTTTTAATGAAGCTATGAGACTTTCTGCACGCTGCTGAACTAACTGGTTGTGTGGCCCGCTGTGGCCACCTCCTGCTCCATTTTGCCTTCATCATCGTCCCGCTTTTAAACTCCGCGACTGTTCCGTCAATGTTTTTATGTGAAATTTTAATAAAAATGTTCAATTGCTATCGCTTTATCTTTCTCTTGCACGCAGATACGGTGTTGGAAAATTTCGCTTTATTTTTATTTTTTGGTTTTGAAAGGTTTGACCCCACAAACATCCTCCAGACTGATGTGAGCAGAAGCTCTGTTTGCCACAATGAGAGTTTCCTGGGTTATGTTTATGTAGGGTTTTGTGTTTAGTTTTGTCTGTCAGCCTCCGTGGATCTCACTTGTGTCTTGTCCCAGTGATTGTTTCCCTCGCGTTCCCAGGTGTACTGTGTCATGTCATTAGTCTTCTGTGTATTTAAGTGCTGTCCTGTCTCTGGGTTTTCATGGGTTCATTAGTCTACATTCCTGGTCATAGTAGTCATCRTGTTCGTTGTTAAAGGTCACTAGTCTAAGTTGCTGTTCATCGTCGTTGTTCCTGAGTCACTGTGTCACCAAGTTCGGGTAAAACTCTGAGTATTTTATGTTCAAGTCGAGACCTTTTTTGTGACCTTTTTGAGTTTTTGAAGTTCCGTGGTTTTTGTGCAACCTGGCCCTGAGTTTTCACCTGTGTTCCTGTGAACAAACTACTCTATTTTTTGGAGCTCCTGACCCCGCTTTCTGAGTCGCTCACCCCGACGTGACACTGTTGTGAAACTCGATTCACTGAGTGAGAGTTCTGTGGCGGAGCTGAAACTGCAAACTGGTTTCTGAAGTGTGCCGTCGGCCCTTTTTTTTTCAAGTGCTTTATCTCTGGGACTATAGAGATGGACAAGAAAAAAAAGTCTTGAGTCGTAAAGCGGGATTTTCAGTCAAACTAGTTCTTTATCCCATTCTAGTTTTGTGTGTTTCAGTCTTAAAGAAGCAGCCTGGGGTAAAACGACAATAAAATCTAGTTTACACTGTTTAAATAAATGTTGTAGATTGCTCTTCTTTTTGTCACCTGCCATCAAAAGGTGAAAGAGTGTTGTGCGTGTTGTGTTGGCCAAATAGCTCATGGTCGCTGAACTCATTTAAAATAAACATTTAAAGGCACAGTGTGTAGGATTTTGTCAATTCTTTTAGCCGAAATTGAGATAATCACTAATGACAATAATAAAAAACATGTCTAATCATTGCAGACAAAGACCTTGTTTTATTATTTTTACCTTATAAAAAGCTGTTTATATCTCCATGGTCGCGGGTCGCCACTACAGGCAGCACCATCTTGCACCGCCATCTTGTCTACGAAGGCTCATGAAGGACAAACTGCGGTGGCGGCGTCAAAAACGGTTTTAGTTGTAATACTATAAATGTAATATTTGTTTGTCATTGTAGCTGGGATAATTTTACTTATTAAAGCTCATAATCTTACCACTTGAAACATCACTAGCCCTGAAGCTGCTGGTAGACATCGCGGTTGGAATTATTAAAGGTTTTTGACACCTGAGAGACACCGTAGCAACTCCTTTGTGTTTGGAAGCGGGGGTGGGGGTGGGGGGAGGACCAGGGAGGATGATTCAACCACTCGACCACTAGATGTCGCTGAAAACAACAAATCCTACACACTGTGCCTTTAATAAATAGACATTGGATGTAAATCTATACTGATTAACTTTTGGAACGATAAAGTGAAGATAATCGCTATAGTCAAGGCTCTGATAAGAAGTTTAGAGGACATTTTGCAACATTCACTTTAACCGGTCAAACTGGAGTCTCTAGCTGCCGAAAATTTTGAATTTAGTTTCTCCTGGTGCTGCATAGATATGTTTATTTTTTTTGGATGGTAGTTTTCAACCCGTTCAGTTTTGTCTGTTTTTCGTTTTACATTTTCTGAACTATTACCTGAAATTATTTGCCACGCAATTGCAAAATAAGGTCTGGACTTACCAACTACAATCTTGTCTTCATCCTCCTCTGGCCCCAACATGTAAGGCTGGATGGACAAGTCTTCCCTTGTTAACGTCTTTTAATTACTTTGTAAAGAAAGTTTCTGCGCTAGGCCTAAACCCCACTCTATCAAACTAGAATGGGTTTGAAGCACCTCGTTTGGATTTAAAGAGACAGCCTCAACACGAGTTGATCTGAGATACACCTCAGAAAAAGGGGGAAAGAGGGGTTTGTGGAGTTACAATAAGGTGGAATTCAGACCAAAGCATTGCAGTTCCACTTTATATAGACCCCAACGGAATGATATGATGAAAAAGGATTTAAAAGCATGACATGTCTCCTTTTAAGGTTTTTACTAACAAATGTCCCTAATAAATTCTGTTTCTCAACAATTTTATCACATTTTTTATTTGAAGTGCTCTGTAATTTACATTTCCTGTCCTGTGGAAAAAAACTTATACTTAAAAAAAAGGCAAATTGTTAATAATTAAGTTTATTCATAATCATTTTACAGATTCACTTTCCCACAACAACTGAGATTTTCTTCACCCGTTGCAAAGATAAAGATAAGATAAATAAGGAACATATTTACAATACAGCACAGCTTGAACATCACAGTTGAATTCTAACTTTGACTTGTCTTTAATCCGTTTCTAGGACTCCATTAAAACTTGAAACACTATCATTGCCTTTCCTCTCATGTCGGATCGTATTGTTTCTTGATATTAGGAAATAAGAGCTTTGTTCTTGACCCCTGGAGACTGTGGCGAGGGCATTTTTAAACCCCGTTTTAAATCTGGCTGGTTCATCGTGATTGAAGTTAGATGGGTCTCCGTTTGATTCTAGCAGCTATACAATGTAAAACACTGGAACAAGAATTTCAGCAAAGGGAGCTAAAAAAAACACAAACCTGTGAAACATATCGTTAAGGCGTGACACCATTCTGCCATCACTTTAAACTCCCTGAGGAAGGGATGACATAAACTACCAACTTCTTCTTTTCAGCGATTATTTACAAGCCATTTCTGATTTAAAATAATACAGGTTATTTATGAAAACTTATGTTTTTTTTTCTCTGTCAAATAAATGCAAACAAGCAGGTTTGTGTGGCTCTACAGAGCAGCCTGTTCACTGGGTTTACAAGGACGTCTCATCGCAGGCGAGACACGCCGAGCTGAATGGAAATGATTCATCGTCCCCGGGGCAGGGATGACGTATGCGTTAGTTACCCAGGTGTGCCTCAAACCACACTTTCTGATTGCTGGTGTTTCCCCTTGTCTGTGAACAGGCAGATGCCTAAAAATAGCTCACAGACTCTTTAACCACCCAAAATCTGAGGCACTTCTCTGCATCTTTACCTCTTGAGCAAATTAGCTTATAGAATACAAACATTTCTCTTACATTTGCCTCAAAGTCAGGACCTTGCACCACAAAACTGGCAGTCCAAAATACCAAAGCTATGAGGGCACGGACTCTAATAAGGCGTTCACCTTTTGTTTCCTGTAAAGCCAACATGAACGTTTCAGTGGCATGACGCTGAACATGCAAGAAATCAAAACAGACATATGTTTGTTTACAGGACATAATACAATTCTCAAAGTACAGGCAGGTTAATCAAAATTTTAAAAAGTGACAACAGTTCTGGCAAATACTGTTAGTAGTTTACATTATGGTACAAACTCCACTGAGAGGCTGGCGCAGGCAGGGAGACGTCTCAGTCGCTGCAGGGGCAGTTAGGCAGATGCAGAGGCTGGCATCCTTGCTGACGCACGACGGTCACTATCACCTGCAATCAGATCGGCTCATCAGATGGACTACATTGGTGTGTGTGAATAGAAAACACAGCGCCTTGAAAAAGCATACACGCCTTCTTGAACGTTTCTACATTTTGTCACGTTGTTCAACCACAAACTTCAAAGTATTTCCTGGGATTTATAGAATGGAAGGAAAATGATGCAGTCTTTTTTTTTTTTTTTTTTTTACTTTTTCTGTACTGGATTGTGTATTTATAATTTTTGCACTTCTTTTTCCAAAATAGCTTGAAACTGCAGTTTTCAATTCTTGCCACAGATTTTCTGTTCAATTTAGGTTTGGGCTTTGCTGGGTCTTTAACACATAAACATGGTCCAAACACCAGGAAATACTTCATTGGATGGATGTTAGTTGTCCTGCTGGAGTGTGGTCTTTGCTTCAAGTTTTTTCTAACCTTTAACATGTTTTAAAATGTTTATTTGTAAAATAATTGTGAAAGAGATGCATGTTTTATGGGTTAGTATTAATTCTATGTATTTTTTGTTTTCACTTTACAAATACTGAATAGAGTTGGTCTATCGCACATATCATATTCAAGGCCCGTGGGCTGGACAGAATTACGTAATTTATTTTTTTACTTAAATAAAAATGAAAATAGTTTTTAAATTTGAATTTATTATTCAATGTAACAAAATAAACAGGTCAAGAAGAACAACACTTGTTCTGCCCTGTATTATAATGTGTCAAAATAAGCTACTTTAAAGCCAGCATTGACCATAAGCTACATTTCCCACAATGTATGTCGATTATGCGTGGGAATTTCCTGTCGGAAACTGGGACAGTTCAGAATTCAAGACTCACCACAACTCAACAGAGAGTAAAACTCTTACTTTTACTTTTAATAATATTTCTGTATTACTTAATTCACATTTAATCAGATGCATGGTGCTTTTCAATGTTTATAAGCGGACGTGTTYAAACGCTGTTTCTATGCAGGTAATACCAGGTAGAGCTCAGATATTGTTTGTTAGCGGTGCTTTAAAATGCTGTAATCTGATGAGTTTTGAGTCATAAAATGTACCTCCTTCCTGATGGACTTGCTGAGGAGCACGTTGAACTCGTCCATGTTGCTGATGAGCAAGTCGTTTATGGCCAGGATTTGATCTCCTTTGTGGAAGAGGCACACGGACTGTGGCTGTCCCGTCCAACCAGACACACTGGTCACACAGACACACAACCTGACTCAGACCTTTTAATGTCACTTACTTCCCACTCGACTGTTTCCTTCACGGTTTGCATAGCAGTTAAATGAAACGGTCTAAGTGACAGGTGAGATTTTTAAAATAAAAACCAGCCGTGGATATCGCTCTGTCTTCACTGCAGTTTTACAGTGTTCTATAAAAACAGACTTGTACTCAAGTGTTGCCACTTTAATAGGAATCACATTTATTTTAACATGCATGTTTTCTTTGTTTGCTCCAACACACCCAATTCAGTGACTGGATTACCTCTTCAAGTTCTTCAAAAGCTTGGTAATCACCCGTTCATTTAAATCAGGAGTGTTGGAGCAGAGCAACCTCTAAAACATGCAGGATAGCGTCCCTCAAGGACCTGGATTGGACACCCCCGACTTAGAAATAATTAATATGCAACATTTTAAAAACAAACGACTGCATTACAAGTTTAAGTCCTATATAAATAGTAATAATAAAATAAATAATTGGTAACATGTAAAAGCCTGTTTCTGGTACGAGAACACAAGCTTCACATGATTTTTCTTTTTCCACATCAGAAATGAAATGTGGGAATTTAAACTAATTAATCCATGCAGCAATACCTAATCCCATCATGAATACTCAAACGTTCACACAATCCTTCTGAATGGACTTTGTTATCCTCCACAAATGAATTGACGGCTCCCTCGGAGGAATATTAAGCCTGATTAAGCTGCTGAGAGCTTTTCTTTCCCGCTCCAGCCAAAAAAGAACAAATAAGGACGTGCAGCATCATGGCCGGCTTTGCCTGAAATGCTTTGTGGTTTTTAAAAATGGCAGTGTGTGATTGAGTGGCTCAAGGGGAGCGAGTTTCTGAATACTAAACATGCTGCGTTTGTCCCCAGGTTTCCCTTTAGATAAGCCTTTTTTAGACGTTTGAATCAGAGCAGCATTTTCAGACTGTGGTGTCCAATCACACTGCTCGAAACTTACCTTAGTTTGCCGTCGGCTTCTGTCAGTGTGAGGTCTTTTTTCAGATCTGCCTGCTTCACCTTAAACTGCCTCTCCCCCGCCACGGCACCGTCCAGGCTTCACAGCAAAGTAAAAAATAATAATAATTAAAAATGCTGCATTTTATTAATGTTTTAAACACATGTTATTTATGTTAAGAAATGGTTGTAACTATTTTGGTCAAGCTTTAAAAATGATTGTGAGATCAGTGTGTTGTGAATAACTCTCAGATCTGATTGGTGCAGAAAACATTGTTTGCATCACAAAAATGTGGTTAAATATTAGCTATTAAAGGGGCAATATCATGTAAAATCAACTTTTTTGAGTTTTACATCATGTTATAGTGTTATACTCTCATAAAAAACATGCCCAAAGCCTCACTTTGACTCATTCATGCATGTTTGAGAAATCCTGCAGCGTTTTTAGGAAGCCATGCTGAGGAGCAAAACGACAGGTGGGGACCAGAAATGCCTTTTGGGGACCAGAAACACCCCTGGGACGTGTCTTTAAGCCGAGCTTCCTCATCACGGAGCACACCTCCCCACCCCACACACCCCACCCATGACTCCTGCAGGCTCTTGGCAGTGACAAGGCAAACTGAAAGTGAAACTTAAACTGTCTGCTGCTCTCAACACTACTCACTCAATGAGGCTCTTTTCAGATTCAAAATACCTTTGAGGAAATGTATTTTCAGATGCCAAGTAAACTACATCACAGCGTGACACCCCCCAATCCCCAACTGAAACGTACAGGATTGAAGGGGAAGGTGGYTCTTAAAGAGACAGAGGCCAATTTCAAGGCATTTAGAAGAGGAAGTGATGGGAAGACAAGTTTATTTTCTATTTAAACATAAAAACAGCATTTTAATAACAACTAAAGGTGACATAGATACTTTATTATGGTATAGTATTTAAATGTATGCCTGAGAAACACATAATATTGCCCCTTTAAAAGCCTGATTTTTTTCCTGAGCTCAAAAATGAGCACTTCTGATCGTCTCCACCATCTGTAATTGTAATCAGGACTTCTACTTTTCACACAAGTTTTGATGTTGAGGTTTTCTGAGTTTCTAAAGTGCAGTTTTGAAGTTGTGTTGAATGCTCTATTATGGCTCCGCTGTCAGCAGGAAGGAACTCCTAGAAACGGCTCCAACCGGTCCGGCAGGTGGGCCCCAGCATTCCTTCTGGGTTATGTTGTCTCACACTAACTGCACTGATGTCTTTTGTTGTTTGGGACTGACTCTGAGCTGCATCTGGTTTTGTCATTGACAGTCACACAAATGGTGCTGCACAGCGGGCATTTCTGAGTATCCTGCCCTGACTGAATTGTGGTTAAAACATTTTGCTTCTGCAGATTCCAGTTCCATTCAAAACACACTTTATTTTTGTAGCAATGGGCTTGTCGTATTGGCTTCCAGAAGTGGTAGTTGTGCTTTTGGACACAGGTGAACCTCACCTCTCTGTGGAGCTTTGTTTATCCGGCGAGTACACCTGTCTCTCCAGTGTGTCCACGGGGGAAATGGCGCCACTGGAGCTGCTGCTGAAATCCGAAGATTGACGTTTGTCTTCCCTGTGAAACCCGGAGATAGCATGACAGATTGCAACATCTGATCTCGGCGCACGTCATTAGATTGTCAGACAAAGACAAAACAATCCACAAAGGGACTGTTGTGCCTCCTGAGTAACATGACAAAGCTTTGTGTTTATTTTGAGCACATGCTGAATGAAACCAGCCGACATTTACAGCTGTTGCAGAGATCAGACAYAACAAAAGCAGAAAGAAGTAATGAATGGACACCAAAAAAGTACAACTAGTTTGATTTCAGCAATGCAAAAAAAAAAAAAGTCATAAGATTTTAAAACAGTTCCTAAGAGCAGCATGTTTCCAAGAAGTTATTTACRAACCCGCAGCAGAGGCGGTGGCAAATCTTTAATTAAGAAACGTGCCTGAGAGGAGTYCTTTGACTTCCAAACATGGAAGAAAGCTCGTTCTTTAGCGTGGCAACACAGCAGTTTGCCRCAGCTGGCTACAAATCAGACATCAGAGTGAAATGATGAATTATTACACAGTTTGATGYCGTAGCAAACTCTGTGAAGCAAACAAGCAGCAGGCAGGCAGCAGAGGATGGCATGAAATAATTGGAACGGGCACAGATCACTCTGTCTCTGCGGTATGGTGATTAACACCGAGGTCTGCTTACGGTCAAACAGTTTGGCTAAAAAAACTGGCGTTTTTGTAGAAAACTGAGGATCTRACGCAAAATCAAATGTCCGAGCATTAAAGAGCCAAAACTTTAGGAAAGCATTTGCAGAGCAGCTTTCATCCTKCTCAAATGAAATACTGGTAGACAAAGTCTTTGTCACACAGGTTTTTTTTTTAGGGAAAAGCCACACAAAGGGCCACTTTACCAATCAGACCTTCATTGTAACGTTGTCAAACAGAAATCATTCTTAGTTGGATTTGAATCACAGGCACAAAAAGAACATGACAAGTAAAAGCATTTCATCTGATGCGGAAACTGATTTGACCACAACTCGCAGCACATCCTGCAGAATAAATGGGATTCACTGTCACTTAATTAGTACAATCCTTACAGGTAAATGTGCTGGGGAGCTGTGGGAATAGGTTTCTGCAAAAAGGGCTGARACGCTGAAAAGATGGATGCAACTACCAATCACAAGGCCACGAGGAGGTCAACCACAATCATGTCCAAACCGTCAACACATGCAGCWCGCACTATTAGTCGTCAGATACTCTGCTGGTCTGCTAGTCTGGCCGAAGCAGGAGGTTTTTAATAATCCTCAGGAAATCTGGTGATTTTTATGAAAACAAAGCAACGTAAAGTGTACCGCCAAGAGAAGACAGAAATCATTGTGACCATCTAGAACAGGGGTGGGTAACTGATGGCCCATGCGCCATATGTGGCCCTTGGGTGACTTCCATCCAGCCTGCCAATGATGCCCCACTCGTTTTTTTTTTTTAACAAAAGCACTAAAATCTGCTCTTAGATTAGACCTCTTTGGATCAACCTACTTATGTTAACAGACATACTCAGTGATGAAGTTCAACAAATCCAGATCCTCTGTGACTGACGATCACCTCTCTGCTGTCCCACATACCACCAGCTCAGACATTCAGAAAGATTTTAATGTGGTTGTTAAAGCCCAAGAAGACAGACTGGATKTTTCTCACYGAAYAAGTAAAATGACTGAAAAGCATTTAAAAGCACTGATTGTTTTTTATATCAATTTGAGACCATATTGCTCAACAGTTTTTTTTGTATTGTTTGTGAAATCTGACATGTTAAAAACAGAATGAAACAACTTTATGATTGTTTTTGTTTTTACTGTTTGTATTTGAAGATTTTCCTTTATCACCGACATCACAATTTYACATATCTACATAAATATTTACAGCATAAACTTGTCCTAATTACCAGTGGCAGTTTATATATATATAAAATTAATGTAATTTGCTGCTAATTTATTCCTATCATTGGATTCCCACAAATGTGACCATGGTCGCAGGCTGATAAACCTCCCTGGATATGTGTGGAGGAAGCCTTGATCCCCCAACCCCCTNGATAAACTTCCCTGGATGATACGTGTGGAGGAAGCCTTGATGCCCCCCACTCCCTCCCCCCAACCCCCACCTGTGTCTGGAACCCAGTCTGGAGGGCGCGCTGGGTGGAAACAGAGAAACTGAACTCTGATGAACTGCGCGTGACTGATAACAGCTGGTTTGGACTCTGAAGGTCTCTGACTGGTCCTGGCACTCTGCCCTGGATGTCACCGGCTCTGCTGCACCCCTTCCCCCCTTCCATATGTTTTGTTCCCCCACCCCCTCCCTCCCCCGCCTTAGCTGCTCCTTTCGCAGAGTAGTTTTTTGTGCGCATGCTCGTCTGTTTTTCTGTATAAAACACAGGATCAAAGCTCTTTTTTTAACTCGTCCTTCCTATGTGTGTGTGTATTCTAAACTGCAAGGGTAGCGCACGATGTTGAGCAGGGCCCTGGACATTCGCTCCCCCATGTTTGTTATTGTGTGTTTCTCCGGACGGATGTTCCAAACTGCAATTTTGTTCTGCATTGCAKCTTTGAYGTTGTGTGTGAAKRACAATAAAATGATTCTGATTTTCAATGGGTGACACCCTTGGTCTAGAATGTGGTTCTGAACTCAGAGCTTCCCCGCAGAGACCTAAGAATGACTGTGCATTTTATTTATGCACCTCATCCAACCACACTGAGCCTTATTTACCTTAAGAGAAATTTTAAAAGAAATTTTGTTGCCTTAAAAGATCATTTACTATAAAGGCCTTTAAAGTTAAAAAATTATTAAATAAAGCTTAGGCTATCRCATATTAAATATAGGAAAAGTGACTGTTTTCACTGTTTTGTTTTTATGAAACACTCCAAAAACTTGTTTTTGCTCCGTCACTGTGCTGAGTGCTAAGGTACAACTTTGGACATGAGATGAAAATGATAACACAGAAGTTGCTAAACAAGTTCTGAAGTGATATATCTCTTAGATTCTTGAATAGCCTGCGCTGCGGGAAGAAAGCGCTCACTGTTGTTAGTTTAAGTATCTCAGTCTGTAAGGCTGTGTTTGTCACTAATGATGACGTTTATCAGCTTGGACACATACTGTAATCTGCAGGCCCAACCCTATCCCTAATCCTAAAACAAATTAAACTAAGTACTGCTCTTGAACCTTTTGGAATAAATTCACAAGCTACCAACTGAAAGCTATCAATCTGATTTTTTAATTTCAGCAGCCAAACTTTTTGTAACTGTAGCTAGTATTTAGTTACTGAAGTTAAAATACACTATAACCATTAACTGTTTTTTTTACATTTCCAAATCTGTATATTGAATAAAAGGTTACATGATTGGGTATACAGCTGTGGTGTCAGAATGAAGCTCAGAGCTGATTGGCTGATCAATCATGTGTACCACATACARGTGGGACATGAGGGGCTCGCCACACATTTTGAGCTCTGGAGGGCTTATAGATGAACCCAGTTGGTCAAAAGAGGTGTCAATCGAAAGAAGACAACCAATTGAATCGTTTCAACAACCTATTCTGCAAATTCAAAGTCCCTGGTAGCGAGGGTCAGACTACAAAGAGGCAGGAAGTAACCACAAACTGAAAAAGTACTGCTGGGGGTACTTGAGCACGTCACAAAAAGTCACATAAAACAAAAGGTGAAAAGTCTAAAACAAACTCACCTGTCTTCAGGAGCTGTCTCTTGAGGAGACATGGGCACAGGGGACATGGGCTCAGGCGACACGTGTGTCTTTAGTTTGTCATAGACCTGAGTGATAGACCTCATCAGGGTGCCAGTGGTAAATTCTGCAACTTCAATGTCACTGGAAGCATCATTTTAAACATTATTAAATGTTTACTAATCAATGGCATAAGAAAACGTATTTCTGGGCATATACTGTAGATAAACTGAACACTTACGCTGCTGTTGATTCGTTACATTTAAATTCTGTCATCGATTCATATCTGCAAGAGATGGATATTCAAATTCAACAATAAACAGTAATAATTATTGTAACATCCTAGTTTCCAGACGTTTAATTCTTAGTTAACAAACAGAAACAAGAACTCACAGTGACTCCAGGCTGCAGGCTCGGCCTGCAATTTTCTCCTTGTACTTTTCGTGCCATTTGGAGAAAAAGAGAACAATATGAGCAAAAGTACAAAAATACACCTTTACTCCCAGCTCAAGGCTACAGTGGTATATTTTACCGAACAAAAGAACACAAAATGTCACACAACTAATCAACAGAATAACCAACCTTTGGCTTTAAATACGATCTGGGATAGTCATAGATTGGATTCACAGGCTCAGATGCACGCCTGACTTTGCAATAATCATCGTCCTGCAGTCAGAAAATAAAACACTGTGCTGTTTCTGTTTAAAGATTCCCAAGTGGTCAGACGAAGTATTGTGCATGACAGTGACGTACCTTTGGTGTGACGAACTCAAAATCCACACCGTTAGAGGATGGATCAGACATCGATCTTATTTTCGGTGTTTGCTGAAACACACGCAGACACACTTAAATATTTCTGTTAGGGTAGTAAAGGTTAACTCCTTCAAAAGTAATAACAGTTTTAAAAACTTGGCACTTGAAGGGTAGCTGTAACATATATGTAAATATGAGGGTACGTACAGGTGTCGGATCCTTTTTTTCAGCATTGTCGACYACGTCGTCTCGCTGGACGAGGAAGGATGCCTTCAAATCAACAAAAAGTTGTTCCAGGTGAATTGTTTTTGTCCCTGATGGATGTGCTCTCTTTTAGAACTGTTAATTTCCCTTTTTAAATGGTGTCACATTTGTAAGGAACATGCATTTGTGGGGTGAGCAGTAGAGCTGAGTGTGCGGGTTGCGCACATGAAAAATTTGCCAAAGTTTCTCAGTCAAACAGCTTGTGTTGTAGCCTATGTGGCTCTGTGTGTGTGTGTGTGTGTGTGTGTGTGTGTGTGTGTGTGTGTGTGTGTGTGTGGTTGTGTGGATAATTTTTCTTCTGATTGCAAAATAACCATTTTTCCCTATTTTGAAAATGTCTCCCAAACTGTTCGACGTAGGATTGAACAATATATTAAAATCTCATATCATCAAATTAGTTTTCATTTCAATAGTATTGCAAATGTTTGCCTTAAGTGCAATTAAAGAAGGCTCATAGGTTTTCCTATTGTAGTTCACCCATTATCTTATCCTGCTTCTTCCTTTCAGGRCCACCGGTGTCTATATCCAGCAGTCACAGTGTGAGGGACGGGGTACACCCTGGACTGGTTACAAGACTATCACAGGGTCACATAGAGAMAAACAACCACTCATTCTCACCTAGAGACAATTTATAGTTACCAMTTAGTCTAGCAGTTGTGTTTTTTGTCCTCTGTGGGAGGAAAGCATGAGTAACCGGAGAAAACCCACGTATGGACGGAGAGAACATGCAAACTCTACCCCGAAAACTGCCTGGCCAAGATTTAATCCGGCAACCTTCTTACTGAGAGGCAACAGCTCTACCAACTGAGCTGCCCCAATTGCAGTTCATTAACCTTTAACATCCTGATAATACAGTATATTTGGGGTGATCATACTKCCATAGATGATCAAACCACACTTGGATGAAAATGGCGAAGTTCCTAAAAACAGTTTTGAACTTCAAAACAAACAAAGRAAACTAGAAAATGTGGATGTTCTACGTCACATTGACATTAAAAGAACCATAGCAGATTAAACTGTTCTCTAACATCCCAAATCCTTTAACAATTAAAACACACGTGAAAATTATGTAGTTGTATTTTACAGCATTTTCCTTCACCAGTTATTAAACCAAGACTTTTTGGACCTTCTGCATATCATGTTGGACAGTGGTCCTCAACCCAAACACTACCATCAAAACACCAATGAACCAATTCAAGGATGTACTCAAGCTGCTATTCTGTAAGAATCCACTGAACATAAAAAATGCTGTCCATCAAAAGAAATGAATTTATGAAAATTAAAAAGAACAGAATAACCAGATCCTTTGTGCCGAGCCTACAGTACACAGACTAACCTTGTCGTTTTCAGTTAAAGATGTCTTGCTTCGTTTAAGAGGGTTGGAAATTACCTGAAGAAAAAAAAACAGGAGTCTTTCTTCTAAGATGAAATAAAGATCAAAGAATGAATCACTGACAAAAATGCCTTGAGGCTTTTCTCTGGGCCACAAACAGGACTGGTGACTGTGAGACTAGGTCATTTTGCGTATGCGCAAAAGGAAGGAAGTGACAGTAAATACAGTAGCTGTTAAAGAATAGTAAAGCTTTCTTCCAAAGCATAATATGAGCTAGTTGACTGTTTAGTACAGTAGTAAAAAAATACATGGAATAGATAATAAGTACCGTAATCACAAAGTACAAACTACTGCATTACCTTGGTTTTTGAGCTTGATTCCCTTGCAAGTCCTATGTCCTGCAAGTTCATCAAAGACAGATCTTTTGAACTGGAGTTCTTACTAAAAGTTAATGACAAATTATTATCTTACCTTTTATAAACAGATTTTTTAATGCAGCTTGAAGAAACCAAGTTTCATTCTGAGTGGATTAATGAGCTAATGGCTAACTGGAGCTGATCCAGGACCAAAGTGGGTTGTTGCTGTTTTAAAACAACTTTGATCCTTCATTTTTTAAAGGAGTTTAAGCATAAATAAATTACATTAATTTAGGAAATCATTGTGATATTTTTTCAGGCCACCAGGTTAAATGAAAAGTGCCACAGCTAGCTGCTGCTGCCAGTGTTTGAACTCGCAGGGTGTATTCACACCTGGCACATTGGTCTGATTTAAATGAGCCTTTTGTGCGGATCAAACAACTGGACTAAGACCCATTTTTGAGGTGGTCTTAGTCCCCTTTCAAACAAACTCTGGTGCAGTTTGCTTCTGGTGTGAATACAGACTGGCCTCAAACCAACTACAGGAAACTTTTAGGACTTCACAAGCCACCAAAGCTAAGCAGCGTTAGCCCTCCAGTGTTGCTAATGCTAACACTGCGCTACAAACAATGAGCATCTTGTCTCCTTTAGGTTGCGGCACACATTTAACAACGCTATCCCAAAATTATAAGTATATCATTGCAAAATCGCCACTGAATGAGCTGCTCTTGATGTTCAATTTTTTTTTTGCTCTTGATATTTCGCACCAAAAGAAAAAATAAAGTCCGCTATTTGGTCTGGACCAAACAAGTGGACCAAAGGAATTTCCTGGTCTGAATGTGCCCATAAATATCAACAAAATTCTTAGCGAATGAGTGTGTCATGCAAAATTGATGGCAATACTAATAAGAAACCTACTTTAACTTTTGTTTTTAAACTGTGGTCATTCAAACAGCTGTCTACAGCAGGTAAGATACTAATTGTTCATATCTTTTTCATGGAACCCCACTTCAAAAATGTGAACTGTCACTCTAGGCTTTAGAATTGGTGCTTTATAGAGTTTATTTTTCTTACTTTCTATGTTTACTGTATACTAAACAAGTAGCCTTATCTATGCATAATGCTAATCAAATTCTCACTATTTAATGCACAAAATATCATCAATCTTGTCTGCAGCAATTAGATGAAAAATATTGACTTCTAACTTACCTCAGCTGTTGGCTGGACTTTACTAATTTCCTACAGAAAGAGGACAGTTAAGTAATGTACAATATAGCAGACATGACAAATAGTATAATTAAAACAAAATAATTGGATTTCTCAAAACAATTACAAATATACCTCGGAGCTGAGGAGTTTATGTGGCCGGTTTGACAGAGCTTCATACAGGTCAGTGAACCAGTCGTCGATCTCAGTGCTAAATCAAAAGAAAAGAACCACTTAGAAAGTACATTTTTAGACCCGACAAATTATGTTTTCAACACTTTAATTTAAAATCCAATACCAGAAATCAAACGCRAACAGAACACGGTCCCAATTTCGCAATGATTTGGTGTGTGCAAATCCATTATCGGATGATCAACTGTGTCTAAAGAGGACAGCGGCGTCATCATTTATTGTCTGATTGCAGGCTCTAAAAATAGTTAAAGGGTGATGAGGGTGGGCCGAAGTGTTGGACGCACTGGGATTGAGTCACTGAGGACCATAAGGCAGAGACAGCTCAATCTCTGCAACTTTCAAATTTAAGGCAAACAAAGAAAAACAATGGTCATATTTATACATTATGTATTTGAACGAAACTCTAACCCATATTTCCTGTAATGATAAAACCAATCACCCCTCAGGCACAGCTGTGATAAGTAAGTGGGTTCTTGCAGTTCAGTGGTGCATGAATGCATGAAGCTTAAAAAAAAAAACCTGACTGACCTGGTCTCCCCAACCAGGAAGTAGTCCCGGTCTGCAGACCTGATGTAGAGCACGCAGGAGGGGGAGCATTTGAAGGTCTTCTGCACCCACGGCCATTTCTGGTGATGCTGAGGGCTTCCATACAGCAGTGAGATTCTGATGGAGGAAAAGGAAAACAACAACAACAACAAAAATACAATATTTTGTTTATTTATATTTTGATCGTTTTGGGTTTAACTGAAAATGAGAAGAGAGAAATCTTAAAACGTTCAAAACAGGGTTTTTTTGTCTAATAATCGCCTTTTTTATTTATATTCAAATATTTTAGCAACTTCTTTTTTGTAAAGAAAACTGACTTTTATTTTCGCGAATAGATTAAAATGTACTTTCTAAGCACAAAAGTACAAAAAAATAAAAATAAAAATAAAAAATAAAGTAAAACTTTGGACCCCCCTCTGCCCTGAATGGATGGAGGGAGTTTATAAAGTCTGTAAATACTAACACATAAAAGAAGCAAAAACAAATAAACTGTTTTTTTCTTGTTTGTTTGTTTTAACAGTTATTGATTTATATTAAAATGTGAAAACATACTGTGTCAAGTCTATGCCTCCTATTGGGCTGCCCATTTCCTCACTGTTCTTGAAGTACCGGAGCTGATACTCGTGCTCACTGATCTTGTAAAGCACAAAGTAGCGCTTCTTCCATGATCTCTGCAAAATAAAAGAGTTTTTAGTATTATTTATTTATTTTTGGCATGCAAAAAAACAAAACAAAATGAAAAGGCTTAAAAAATACTTCTCTTATTAAACAACATTTGTCACCTCTGGCTTCAGCCGTTTTTGTGGAGGAGACTTATACAAGTATCCAGACCGGATTTCTTTTGCAACAGTAAATGGTTTATAAAACACTGCACGACCTGAAGGACAGAAGAAAAAAAATTACCCACACTTGTTTTCAGTCTTTGCTTTACTCCTTCAGATACTTTGCAGTAGAATGTTAAGGATAAAAGGCATAAATTAAAAACAAAAAGAATTAAAACGGTTTGTTGTAGGACTAAGTAAAACGAAACTGGCAAACTGTACATCAGTGTCAGCGTGTGATTTACACGTGAACCTCGACTGGCTGTAAAAACAAGTTTACTGACACACTGTTAACACTTAAAACCAATACAGAAGATATTTAGATGTCGTACCTCCGTTCTTCTGGCTTTTGGACATTGCGATACCACACCTGAACAAAATAATTACAAATAAAAAAGGCATAGAAAGTGATCATTGCTGCTTAAAAACTGTAAAACCTTCTAAATATCAAAAGAACAAAGTATAAGTTTAAAATTGACCTAATTCCTCTGTGGAAACTGAGACAAGCTCCTAACCAAAAGATGCACTGAGGTGAAGATTTCTGTTCATAACTTATATTTTTACGTTTTAACACAGAAAAATAGTCTTATATGTGATAGGGATCAAGTAAAATCCTTCATAAAGTATTATTTGCACAACAATTGAATTATCAATGAGTATAAACGTAAAAAAGTGAGTTAATATCCCAGTTAAGACTCTTTCAGGTTTCTTTGTCACACAAGAAAGGTTCCTCCGACACTTGAGTGAAACCAAACAAAATCTTCTTACCTCTGCCCAGAGGTCCTGTTCCCTCAGCTGTCTTTGTGAAAAGCACGGCTGCATGAGAACACACGACTGTTTTGCTGCCAAACGATGATCATAATGAGAACTGGAGTTTCTGGTTTCTTGCTTCAGGCTTGTTTTAAGGTCCACCTGCTTTGTTGTTAAAGTGCTTTATGCCCTGAAGAGTTCATTAAGATCCATGTCCTCTGTGGAAAAGTACCCATTTATTAGGGTCAGGAAACGTCTTAATGTTCCTTTTCATGATGTTTACGTTTTCCCAATATCAGAATCATGACAGGTGCTTGAAATTTAAAAATATCCTTTAAAAAACTCCACTTTAAGGAGACAAACATTCTCTCACACAGGCGAACTCTGCCTTATTAAATGTCACACACGTGCTGGAGGTGGAAAAAGAAAGTCTATCATAATGACACACGCTCAGGGCAAAACAACTGGTTCTTATATTTTATTGCGTTGTATTTAGGTATGTAACAATACATCGATCCATAATACAATACAATACAATATAATATAATATAATATAATATAATATAATATAATATAATATAATATAATATAATATAATATAATATTTTAGGCTATCATATCGATGGAAATTGTATCGTAACTGACTTTAAGATATTGAGAAACACTGGATCGTCATCCAAAAAAATCAATATATCATATTGTGAAAAAGCTGGTGATTTACACCCCTAATTCTATCATAAAAAATTGTGTTATATTCTATTGGAACATGTTGAGTCAAATTGAGTCATATACTGTTTTATTGTATTGTATTGTATTGTATTGTATTGTATCGTATCGTATTGTATTGTATTGTAACATATTGTATTGTATTGTAACGTATTGTATTGTATTGTAACATATTGTATTGTATTGTATTGTATTGTAACGTATTGTATTTAATTGAATTGTATTGTATTGTATTGTAAAGCATTATGTTGTTGTGAGTTGTATTGTGTTATGTTTTATTATATTGCATCACATCATATTGTATTTATAGTATTGTGTGATATTGTATCTTTTTATAACATTAAAAATTGTACTGCATCATATCATGTCATCTCATCTCATATTGTACCGTACCATATTGTATCTTATTGTACTGTACCGTATCGTACTATACCGTACTGTACCGCATCGTTTTGTACCGTACTGTACCGTATGATACTGGACTGTACCATATTGTACCATATCATACCGTATTGTACTGTACTGTGTCATATCATGCCATACTGTACCGTACCGTATCATATCATACTCTACTGTACTGTACCATATCATATTGTATTGTATCGTATCGTATTGTACTGTAGCACATTGTATCAAAATGTACTGTACCATATTGTATCGTATCGTATCGTACTGTACCATATCGTACCGTACTGTACTGGACTGTACCGTAATGTACCATACCATACCGTACTATAAGTGTTGTACTATATCGTACCATATTGTACCACATTGTACCATATCGTAACACATTGTACCATATCGTACCATACTGTACCATATCGTACTGTACTGTGCCGCATCATATTGTATTGTATTGTATTGTATTGTATCATACATAAACACACATTTCTGCCAGGTATCATTTTGAAGCTAGCTCATGACAGCAATAATAAGTCAGAGTGATTCAAGTCAGCACAGGGCTCAGATGGTTATTTAAAGTTGAGGGTTAGTCTGTGTATGTAGCCCAGCTTTAATATGAAAATAAATTGATGTCATTAACAGAATCTGCTTTTCTGTGATGCATCTGAAGCCCCTCTGCTTGTGCGCAYAAAACATTTGTGGGTCACAGAAAGCAAGTTTAAATAGAATCAGCTGGACTGAGTTCTGTCTCTCTGGGTGAATACTAAACAAACACTCACTCTTGACATATTTAGAGAGAAAACTTTTTATGAATTGCCCGTGACCCACAAATCACCCTCTGTAGCTGAAAATCTACACACACAACTTTTCATACAGTAGGTGCATGTAGGTCATGACCTCACACACACTCAGGTTGGTTTTAATAGACCGCTGCAGCCCGTTCTCCTGAAGGTTATGTGTCTGATTGCGTGAAACCTTCCTCCTCCTTGTCTTCAAAGTTTAGATTCATTGGTTTATCTTCAAAGTCAGCACGCTGGTCAGAGCACCAAGTTAGAGCTGGCACCGTTTCTCCTGTCAATAAGACATTTTTAACAGACTTTCAAAAACCCCGGTGGTTGTTTCGTGCTTTTTTTTTTTGTGGAGTTTAATTTGCACATCTCTCCGGGAAAAAAAAAAACAGTGAAGTAGATGGGAAGGCCTCGAAAGACATAAGCGCAGAGAATTCTGCAAAGTTCACTCACTCTGTTGCCTTTTCAGCAACAAACTGTTGATGTCTGACTCTGGTTCATAACTGTTGAACTCTATGGCCGCATGCCTGCAGGCTGTTCCACTGTCTTTTGAACTCTGCGTTCTGAAATGAAACCAAAGTCCGGTGACGTCCTCAAATCACAGCTCCTATATCCTGAAAAAAAAACCTCTGCTTTTACTCAGCATCTCTCAGCTTATTTTTTGTTCATTCTWATTGAACCATAGGTCCTTGTGCCGCTTTGGTACATTTAGAGGAAGGTTAAATAAGTTAGAAACTCTGGAATGCACTTTTGTTTATCTGTAATCATTCTTGCTTGTTATATTCTGTGCACTTTAATCCAAAAAGTGCATGAAAGTGACTGTTCGGTTGGCTGCTTCATTAATACAGCATATATCTTGTTTTAAGGTCTATTTAAGGTTAAGCTGTAAAAAAAACAATGAGTAAATGAGTCATTTGGGCTTACTGTGGAAACAAAATAACTGTCAATTTTTTCACTTATTGGTATTTTATAATTTACTGAATAAAAAAAGGAAAATTAAGGTTTTCATGATTAATTATCAACACATTGCTTTTAGCCAAATGCTATAAGATAYTCTGATTCTGACCTCTGACGGCCTTTTTTGGCTTAGAAAAACACTGATTCAGTGATGAGAAAGAGCAAGAAAAAGCATGAAGATATGAAACATTCTATGACTCACAGCATGAGACCCCAGTGAAGCCGAGGATGCTAAATTAAAAAAAACTAATTAGGAAAAACTACTCTGAAAAACCTTTAAGGCATGTAACAGCTTAGACCTGTAAGTAACCAAACATATGGTTCTCAATCTCATTTACTATGATGGGAAATACCAAAAGGAGAGTACCAAGAATTTCTTGTGTTTTTATGTACAGCTTATCAGAAACGTGACACTTCCTTACCCTCAGGATTATTTCCAGTTCATGACTCAGATGTCATCTACAAACTGGAAATGGATCGTTCACATTTTTTGAAATGAGGTTCTGTAAAAAAAGTTATGAACAACCAACATCTTACTCGTCATATACCAAAAGCAACCACCTGCCATCTTTAAACCCAGACAAAATAAAGTTCAGTAAGTAGAGGAAAATGTGTGTGTGGAGTTTCTTGTTTGTAAAGAAATAAAAGGCTGAACCAAGGTTGGATTTATGGGAACGTGAGATTATCTGTACTTTTTTTCTCCTTTAAGAGATACTTCAGATGCCATTCTCAATGATGACACTGCTTACCTAAACCTGATCCTATCTCCCAAAGGTGACTCATCCACATGCCCAGAGACTTAACAGAATGTCTCAGAAATGTCATGACACGTCAGTCAGCAAATCATTTGGTGGTCGAGAGGTGGACATATCATACCTGAGGGTCTGATGTGGGGGCTGGGCTGAGGTGGTTTTCATTGCTGTCCTCTGCAATGTTTTGGATGCCTCTGTCATGTTACTGAAACGCTTCGTTGTGTCCTGTTCATGACAATGAAAGCATAAACTGGAAGTGACCGAGGTGGGCCACTAAAGAACAGTGGTCAGGACGCAGGAATGTGTTGACCTGGAGGCCATGGTGTGATCTGACATTCCCGTCATGTGACACACCCTGAGCTCTGGATGCTGTGCACATCTCGATGGTCCACTACAATCACGGAGTTTTTAATTGGGATCTAAAGATCGTGCCATTTATTTGCAGTTACGAACGCTTTCTTTTACAGTATATGATGGAATGACAGCAAAACCAATATTTTAAAATGTTTTATTTACAACCCCAATTCCAATAAAGTTGAAACGTTGTAAAAAAAACATAAATAAAACAGAATACATTTGCAAATCCTTTTCAACAAACATGCAAATAAACTACAAAGGCAAGTATTTAATGTTTTAAAGCAGTGGTTCCCAAACTTTTTGTCTTCTGACCCACAAAATATCCATGGCAAAGATGTGTGACCCCAAATATTACTGGTCTGAGTACACAAACTTCGTTAATAACCCTAAAAACACAGGCTTTTTGACAATCTAAACAGGTTGTACACAAATGTAAATACTTATTTATACTTGTTTTGTGTTTTTTGTAATAATTATAGGGAAAATATTACATCAGCAATTAAGCAACAAAGTGCAGTGGTTCCCAAACTTTTCAGCTTTTGACCCACAAAATAACAGTAGCAGAGACCTGTGCCCCCAACTATTTTTGGATGGTAAACATTTGTATCAGGTCAACAAAACATGAACATAGTAACAATTTTTATACTACATTTATCTATTTTAAACATACTAACCTCACTTGTAACAACTAAGGCAAAATGTAATTATTTCAGAAAATCTTTTCAGGACCCCACCTTGATGTTTCGGGACCCCACTTTGGGTCTCGACCCCAACTTTGGGAAACACTGTTCTAAAATATAAACTTTGTTTAGTTTTTTCTTGTTTTTTTGTTTGTTTGTTTGTTTGTTTTGCAAATATTCACTCCTTTTGCAGTTGATGCCGGCAACATGTTCCAAAAAAGTTGAGACAGGAGCAGCAAAAGACTAGAAAAACTGAGGAATGCTAAAAAAAAAAAAACAGCTGTTAGAAGCATTCCACAGGTAAACAGCTTAACTGGAAACAGGTGAGTGTCATGACTGGGTATAAAGAGAGCATCTCTGAAAGGCTCAGTTGTTCACAAGCAAGGCTAGAAGTTCACCATTTTGTGAACAACATGTGTGTAAATAGTCCAACAGTTTAAGAAATTTTCTCAACAATTGCGAGGAAGTTCAGAGATTTCATCATCTACAGTTCATATCATCATGAGATTCAGAGAATCTGGACAAATCTTAGCAAGTAAGCGGCAAGGTCCAAAACCAACACYGAATGCCCRTGACCTTCGATTCCTCAGGCGGCCCTGCATTAAAAACTGACATCATTCTGTAGGAGATCTTACCACATGRGCTCAGGAACACTTCAGACAACCATRATCACKGAACACAATTTGTCTCTACATCTAAAATTACAAGTTAAAACTCTACCATGCAAAGACAAAGCCAAATATCAAGAAATGCCGCCAGCTTCTCTGGGCCCGAGCTCATCTATGGACTGATACAAAGTGGAAAAGTGTCCTGTGGTCCAACGAGTCCACATTTCAAATTGTTTTTAGAAATCATGGATGTTGTGTCCTCCTGTCCAAAGAGGGAAAGGACTGTCTGAACTGTTACCAGAGCAAAGTTCAAAAGCCAGATTCTCTGATGGTACAGGGGTGCGTCAGTGCCCATGGCATGGGTAACTTGTACATCTGTGAAGGCACCATTAAAACTGAAAGTTACACACAGGTTTTAGACCTCAGCTACATGTGCTGCCATCYGAGTCACACCTTTTTCAGGAACGTCCTGCCTTTTTTTTTTTCAGCAAGACAATTCCAAGTCACATTCTGCACGTTACAACAGCGTGGCTTCGTAGTAAAAGAATACGGGTATTAGATTGGCCTGCCTGCAGTCCAGACCTGTCTCCTATTGAAAATGTGTTGCACATAATGTAGCACAAAATTCAACAAAGACCCTTTGTGCAACTGCAGTTCTACATCGAGCTTCAACAAGTTCCCAATGCTTACTGAGTTTTGTTGAAAGGAATGGTGATGTAACGCAATGATAAACATGCCCCTCTCTCAGCTTTTTGCAACATGTTGCAAACATCAAAATTTAAATGAGTWWRWATTTGCAAAAGAAAAAATAAAGTTTACTCATTAGAACATTAGCTTGTCGTTGTAGTGTATTCAACTTTTTGTGGCAATATTTATTTAACTAAGACAGAAATATGTGGTCCAAGAATGAAGGTACTCCGTGAGATGATCAGCTGAGTTTTATTGCAACAGGAATGAATGAATGAATCTTGAGCTCCAACACYGTCACCTTTTGGAGAAGCTGGCAGAAATCCTCTTTGGAAAASWAAGGAGGCATCTTGAAGCTTTTACTCACTCTCAGCAGATGATGTTTCAAAAATCTTCTCGGGTTCTTCAACAGCCAAAAATAAAATCCAGCGTTCTTTGCTTATTCAAGATCATCCATCACAGTATCGTCACCAGCGTATCTCTGTTGTTAAAACAATTTACC